AATGGTCAGAAATTCAGCAGGAGCGGGCAGGAGTGTGCCATTTGTAAAGTTGCTCACGCTGAAAATAACATCAACATTTTGCCACATTTAGCTTCAAACAATGTTTAAAAAAGTGTTGTGAATTTTTTAACGTCACCTTTTACCACATTTACAGCAGTAAAATGTTAAATGTTAAATCTAAATAATAAGTCTAAATCTAAATCTAAATGGTAGTTGAATGGGTACCAGAGAGCTCTTGACATTTTGACATGATAGCGATACAGTGTGTTTCGGGGTTCACGTGACGTCAGATAACTCACTTTAACCCATTTCCCCCAGAGAGCAGGTAAAGTGTGATGAGCTGGTGAGGGGGGCTGGGTGGTGGCAGGAACCCAGAAAAAAGGCCTCTCTATTATTTAGTAGGCTTTGCTATGTAGTTATGTTGTAATGGCCTTATGTAATAATATAAAATAATAGTAGTTAGACCATTAGTAAAAACAGTAAACTATTAACATTTTGATTTTTTTCTCTTCCCCCATTTGTGGCGCCGACGATGGCACCCTTAGCATTCGCCTATACCGCCTGTTCCACAGGCCAGCACTGCCCTGCATGTCTCCAAAATATTTTCAAATGCCATTCTCTTTTTACTCACTTCTGTAACACTGAAAACATGCTGCAAATATACTGATGCCTTGTGATGACTACAAAATCTTACACTATCATTCAAAACACTTTTTAAACAAGTCCCTTTCACAAGCAGGGGCTTTTAACTGTGACACATTGATTTATATGGGCTCCCATGCAACCCAACTGCCCATGCAATACACTGTTTGAAAAGAAATCTCACTGGCTACAATTGTGAGTGACTGATGTTTTAAATAGCCAACAAAAGCTCCTTTTACCTTGACTGACAGATACATGACAGAGCCCACTGGCCTTTCAAACCGGGAGAACAAGCTGCACTCAGGGGCTATCCCTGTAAGGTAACACTGAGTAGAAAGACAAAAAAATATGATTTATGTCAGAGTACCTGTGGTCTTAGTTTGATGAACTACGTTTGAACTTGGGGGTGGGGGGTGTTAGGTTACAGTACACAACAGTGATAATAGGCTATTACCCATGTCCTTGTGTTATAATTTTAGCCAGCTAAATCACTGTGTGGCACCTATCCACAATGGTGAGGTGACTGAGTAAGCTAACAGTTATGTACTACTGAAACATATTGGCCAGTTACCTGTAGCATTAGTAGTTTATGGACATTCTTGTGAAGCAAGCAAGAGACTCTGAAACACTGTCCACCTTAGAAACAGACATGATGTAAAAAATATATGAATTCGCCAATAATTCTTATTTTAGTAGGTCATAAAACGGTATGTTTATGCATGGAACTTTAAGCCACCTTACACATTATTGTAGGCCCACTTTGATGTGCAACCTGATTTTATCAGAAGTCCAAACAAACACGCTCAACCCTCAGAAGTATGAATGGGTGCTGAATCCTCAAAAAAATGTAAAAAATTGTGTACAAAAGGTACAGGACAGCACTCCAATTATAGTGTTTATTGCCACGCGAACGTTTAGGGTGAAACCCTTCCTCAGCGTGCACAAGCAACAAAGTGAATGGATCACACACACAGATGTCACTTATCAGTAATCAGGCTGACACAGCAGCGGCAGGTAATGGCAAGAGAAGAAAAAAGAAAAAAGGAACCTAACAATGTATCCCTTCTTATATCAACACAAACAATCAAGTAACCACAATAGTGATATTTTTTTAAAACAGTTATTCAACAATGAAATGCATATCAATTTCTAAGAATTCCAAGCTTTTAACTTTTTTAAGGTTTTTAAAGTTTTTTAACAAAAAATGAACAGGCAAATGTCTAATTGTTTTAATACAGTTTTCTTGTTAACCTGTAGGCCTGTTAGTCAAGAACATTTGTACAAAAAACATTTTTACAAAAAAACAAGTAAGCACCAACTCCTCATTCAGTCCCTTTGGCTCTAGAGTGTCAAGGAAATGAATCCAGAAACATTCCTTTTGCAAAAGGATTTTATTTTTATAACTGCCTCAATGCCCATATATCTGAGATCTGCTGTAGTGTGGTAGTAGCTGTTAAAATGTCTGGCTACTGCCGATTTAGAATCATGATTGCGGATGGAACATTTATGTTCACAGATTCTAGTTTTTAGTTCCCGTTTTGTTTTACCAACATAGTACAGATTGCAAAGACACTTCAATAAATATACAACAAATTTAATGTTGCATGTTATTCTACCTTTGACTTTCACAATCTTACCAGTATTAGGATGTGAGAAATAATTTTCTCTGATCAGATTTGGGCATTGAACACAATTGAAACAAGGAAAATTGCCATTTGGCACACTGGACAAAAAATGATGAGAAAGTTTTTTTGGTAAAACGGATCTCACCAAATAGTTGCTCAAATTGGGCTGTCTTTTAAAGAAGAATCTTGGTGGCTCTTGAAAAGCTCTTCCGATATTGGGATCTGTGTTCAGAATATACCAATAGTTATTTACAACCTTTTTGAGTGCACTGGAAATAGGGCTATATGTGCACACCATTGAAACAGAGTTAGAATGAACTTTTTCTTTCGGCTCTAACAAGACATTCCTCTGGATCTGACGAACTTTATCCATGGTTTTTTCAACCAGAGTGTTGTTATAACCTCTAGAGACAAAATTCTTACAGAGCTCCTTGGCTTGTGACTCAGAGATTTCATCCGAATCACAAATACGTTTATACCTTAGAATTTGGCTGTATGGCAAACTCCTCTTAAGCGAGGGTGGATGATAACTGCTGTAGTGGAGAAAAGTGTTCCTATCTGTCTCTTTTTTATACACCTCTGTGTGTAAAATATTGACATTTTTCTTAACCAGAACATCTAGAAATGAAATCTTCTCCAAATTTGAAGTAGTACTACTTCAAATTTCAAGATCGTTATTATTTACAGTGCAGAGGCACAGCAATGGGTTCTCCTGTAGCACCAAACTATGCAAATTTATTTATGAGCAAGTTTGAGGAAGATTTTATTTAAAACAACAATCCTTTTTCATCATTCATTAAAACATATTGGAGATACATTGATGATTTATTTTTTGTATGGAGTGGTAATGCAGAGGATCTGAAGAAATTTCATGAATATTTGAACAGCAAAAAAGAATCTATTAAGTTTACACTTAATTTTGATTTGGAGAAGATTTCATTTCTAGATGTTCTGGTTAAGAAAAATGTCAATATTTTACACACAGAGGTGTATAAAAAAGAGACAGATAGGAACACTTTTCTCCACTACAGCAGTTATCATCCACCCTCGCTTAAGAGGAGTTTGCCATACAGCCAAATTCTAAGGTATAAACGTATTTGTGATTCGGATGAAATCTCTGAGTCACAAGCCAAGGAGCTCTGTAAGAATTTTGTCTCTAGAGGTTATAGCAACACTCTGGTTGAAAAAACCATGGATAAAGTTCGTCAGATCCAGAGGAATGTCTTGTTAGAGCCGAAAGAAAAAGTTCATTCTAACTCGGTTTCAATGGTGTGCACATATAGCCCTATTTCCAGTGCACTCAAAAAGGTTGTAAATAACTATTGGTATTCTGAACACAGATCCCAATATCGGAAGAGCTTTTCAAGAGCCACCAAGATTCTTCTTTAAAAGACAGCCCAATTTGAGCAACTATTTGGTGAGATCTGTTTTACCAAAAAAACTTTCTCATCATTTTTTGTCCAGTGCGCCAAATGGCAATTTTCCTTGTTTCAATTGTGTTCAATGCTCAAATCTGATCAGAGAAAATTATTTCTCACATCCTAAAACTGGTAAGATTGTGAAAGTCAAAGGTAGAATAACATGCAACACTAAATTTGTTGTATATTTATTGAAGTGTCCTTGCAATCTGTACTATGTTGGTAAAACAAAACGGGAACTAAAAACTAGAATCTGTGAACATAAATGTTCCATCCGCAATCATGATTCTAAATCGGCAGTAGCCAGACATTTTAACAGCTACTACCACACCACAGCAGATCTCAGATATATGGGCATTGAGGCAGTTAAGATTCCACCTAGAGGTGGAGATCGGGATAAAATCCTTTTGCAAAAGGAATGTTTCTGGATTCATTTCCTTGACACTCTAGAGCCAAAGGGACTGAATGAGGAGTTGGTGCTTACTTGTATTTTGTAAAAATGTTTTTTGTAAAAATATTCTTGACTAACAGGCCTACAGGTTAACAAGAAAACTGTATTAAAACAATTAGACATTTGCCTGTTCATTTTTTGTTAAAAAACTTTAAAAACCTTAAAAATGTTAAAAGCTTGGAATTCTTAGAAATTGATATGCATTTCATTGTTGAATAACTGTATTAACCTGATTTTATACAATTTATGTAGCAGGGGTCTCCATCTTTCTTTCAGCTAAGGGGTCCTTAGCCTGAAAAGTGTTGAAGACTGGGTTCCTGGTTTGAACCCAGGTTGGAGTTTGCATGTTTTCCACATGTCAGTGTGGGTTTTCTACGGGTACTCCATCTTTCTCCCACATTCCAAAGACATGCAGGTTAATCGGTGACTCTAAATTGGCCGGAGGTGTGAATGTCTGTATGTGTCAGCCCTGTGATGGTCTGACGAAGTGTCCAGGGTGTACCCTGCCTCTCACCCAATGTCAGCTGGGATAGGCTCCATCCCCCGCAACCCTTAACAGGATAAGCGGTTATGGAAAATGAATGAATGAATGAATATATAAAATCGAGGAATGGAAACATATTTGGACTTAGGGATCACTTCAAAGGCAGGGAGTCTTCTTCTTTCGTCTCTTTTCTTTCCCATGCCAGTATGAATAAAAAATACTTTGGTGCTCATGTTTCCTTCAAATGAACTGAGCAATTAAATTGTGGAGAATCTAACTGAGCTAACTATGTCCATATTGACCGAATTTCAATGTATATATTTGCATGCACGATAAGCTAGTTAGAACTAGTTCAAGTGGATCGACAGCACTCCAGTGGGTTTAAAGAGGCCAGCAAACAATGCTTCATTTACTTCTCAAACAGGCAAGAACTCTCCACTTACACGTGTAGGCAATAATAGTCCTGGGTCCTGTCACTATAGTTGACCCGTGACATTGTCAACATCTGTTGTCACTCACTTCTGTTATGGCTTTTGCAATTATGTTTTAGCTTTTGCATCTGTGGTTTCTGTTAATGCACTTGTCTTGTTCGTGTTTGCAAAGTGTTTGAATATGCAGTTTGTTCAAACTGTCTCAGCCACCATAAATATCCCTTTCGAGTTTTGCAGTTGCAGTCAAAAGCTACCAGCATACCACATCACAAAATCTGAACTTAACCTGTGCATAGACAGATGCTCATCAAGTGAAGCAGAGCAAATATACAGAGGTTTGAGAAGAGGCATGTAAAGGCAGAATGTCACTATAGATATTAATTAATAATAATTAAATAATTCCTTCTAAAAACAACAGTTTTTGACTTTATTTTGAGAAATCAGACCTCTATCCATATTCCCATGCTGGCTGGAGCTTCATATTTATTGTGCAGATGTTAAAGTGATATAAGTCTGAACATCTGACTCTTGATAATAAAGTGAATAAGGGTATTTAACCCTAACCCACCACTGACTGCTCCTATAAGATCCACTTGCTGGTTTGTTATTTTGTATTTTTTGAAGCTTTTAATCTTATCACAGGTTCTTCAGCCATGGACAGAGTTTGTCCACTTCTCATGGAGGTAGAAAGCCAAGCTCAATAGCTTTTATGATTTTAGCAATAGCCTTGATGAAAACAGCTTGGAATGGTTGAAAGCTTGCGAAAAAAGCAAGTATGTGGACACTGAGTTGGGATTTGGGCCCCTAAAACATTCTTGTTACAACATTGGAGCCAAAAAGAAATTGTTATGATAACAGTTATGTATAGTCATTTTGTTGAGTCCTCTGTGTAGCTAAGGCTTCTTCTTCCCCAGTGGCTCTCCGGAACAGGGATGCCCTTTCTGATCACTGGCTCCACTACCAGCTCCAGCAGGCTGGGTGGCTCTGGCACTGCTAGCTCTGTTACTCTGAAAAGATTAGAATATGCCCGGCCCACCAGAACCAGCTGACCAGAGGAGATTCGGGGATCTGGTCCTCTAAGCCGTCGCCAGTACACCTTGAAGTGGCGCACGAGCTTGGTTGGGTAGTCCCAGCGCAGAGTGGCGTTGAGACGCAGGCAAGGAGAGGTAGACTCTGGTAAGGAACCAGCACCACGCAGCCACACCACGTCATAAATGCACAAGCCCTGAACCACCCCAGGGGGAACATGCAGACTGGCTCCATCCAAGAGCTTATAGAGAAGGGGGACAAAAACAATTAAAAAGGGAGGAATTCTTATCTACATACATACTTGTGTTCAGCTGTGTTACATTTATATCTAGAAAAGGCTACATTTTATGTGAAACTAGAATTACCACTTTGCAGTTGTATGCCTCTGCACACCACTCAAGTTGCACTTACAGTTTACATCCATGTCAGTGAAAACATGCATGCACAAGAAAGACACGATGCAAAATTCAAAAATTCAAAATTCATGGAGCGTTGGTGGCTTTGTGGTTAGAGCAGGCGCCCCATGTACAAGGCTGTTGCCGCAGCGGCCAGGTTCGACTCCAGCCTGCAGCCCTTTGCTGCATGTCATTCCCTCTCTCTCCCCCTTTCACACTTGGCTGTCTTGTCCATTAAAGGCAAAATGCCCAAAAAATATCTTAATTTTTTTTTTAAAAAAAATTGAAAATTCAAAGAAATTCCCTAGAGGTGTTCTTGATATATCACGTTCACAAGAATGACACAGAGGAGGTCACAGTGACCTTGACCTTTGACCACCAAAATCTAATCAGTTCATTGTTAAGTCCAAGTTGGTGTTTGTGCCAAATCATTGGAAAAAAAACTTTGTTGAAGTAGCAACTGAAACACAATTACTGAATACTCAATAAAGTAGAGAAAATAATAAAGTAAAAATGTGAAAAATGATGTTTGTTGAAGTGTCAGCTGAAATGTAAGCACTGAAAGCAGTTGACATGTCAGCTTTAATGTAAGTGATAAATTGTGCTGAAAGTGTCTGAAACAAATTAGTGTCAGCTCCCGTGAATAGACTGGAAGACAATGTCAGTTGAAGTGTTGGTTGAAGTGCCAGCACTGAAAGCAGTTAAAACAACTTAAAAAGTTTTTCTATGTGTTTATATCTGGGCCTCTAACCCTGTACAGTGTAGAGAACACATTCAACACAAGCATCTCCCTTTCTCACCATGATTTCTCCCACCCTGCAGCTGAAAGGTGTGTCCTGAGGCCCACCATCCCGCTGGATGTTGAAACAAACTTCTCGAAGAGCACAGCCACTAAGCTCCAACTGTGAACACCTACCACAGTGACATGAAGGGTACACAAAGACTGTATGATGAAGTCCATTAACTTAGCTGTTATTTACTGTTAGAGTGCCTTACCCAACAGTCCAACCATCTGGACTCAAGTTGCCACACAGCTGAGAGAACTGGCTCACCAACTGGAGCCCCTCATCCGGCACCATGGGAGACACAACGGTAACTGCACACGTAATGCATGGCATTAACATCCAACCCAGGACATAAAGATACAAATCTAAAGAACACATTTACAAAAATAAGCATTTGGGGTGCTAATAGCAGGAATAATATAATATCCCTGGGTGGGACATACTTGAGGCTGAAAATTTTTCCATAGAATATTTGATCCTTAATGGAATGACATGTTTTCTGTGAGAATTTCTCGTACAAGTGTTCATAGCTGAATTCAGCAAATTCTCTTTAACTGCAAAACTCAGTGTAAATCATTTGTTTCTGCCTGCTGAATAAAACCTTTTCATGAGTGGGTACACATTGATGAGATTCATTATTCCTAAATGATTATAGCTGGGGTAGGATGAGGCGGTATGGATACTGGATAGATTGTGAGAAATCAACCATTGACATCCTGGATCTCCATGTGTGTGCAAAGACTGGCGTCTGTTGTCTTCAGCTCCAAAGAAACTCTGATCCCAGTAGATGGCTTGTAGATGAGGGTCACCAGAGTCTTGGATGCCAGGGGTACATGGAGGGAGAAGATCCTGAGAGATTCACAACAGAGTACTGTGTATTAACTGTGAGACTTGTGTGTGTGGGGAGGCAGTGTTGACAAGATCACTTTTCCCCCACATGAAAATAAGCAAGGGTGAACAAGAAACACACACACTTGGCACAAACTGGAGATGTGTGAGTGGCAGGGATGAGTCCGTCCAGCAGCAGTGAAGAGCCTCCATTCCAGGCATCCTCGGGGCAGCCACGGCTGCTCAGCCAGCCCCGGCCCTCTAGCTCCTTATAGTAGTACAAGGGCTGGATCTCCTGGGCAGTCAGGTTAAACCAGCTCCTGTCTACCTCACGCTGCACACACACAAAACAAAAGTGCAGTCATCAAGCAAATATACAAACCTTCATTACATTTCCCTGAATAAACAAGCACACACCCAGAAAGAAAATGTTATAATCAACTAAATAATAATAATATAATAAATACAATCAACAAAACTAACTGCAAGCCAGTGTAGAGATGTGAGGACTAGTGCGACGTGATCAGTGCAGCTCTTTGGTGATGTCCCCATCAACTTTTTTGCTCCCGATCCTGATCTGAGTCATTTCACTTTAAGTATCTGCCAATACGAGTCCCAATACGATACTTGTATTTTCTTATATAATACACAGTGTACACTTATTAAAAACAATCCAATGAATATGCTATGTAACTGAATATCTCTGCAATATATTAAAAAAAATAGAACTAATGCTTTGTAATGTATGCTTTCTTGCACCACTGAAGTTGCAGTTACAGTTAACATCCATATCTGTCAAAATATGAGTGCTTATTCCCCCCTGCAGCACAGATGTATACAATCAGCACAGTCTCAAGGTGGCCACCCAAGATTAGTGTCACCAATGTCACCAATCTGACCAAATGTCTACCCTTCTGTTCCTGAGATACGACGTTGAACAAAGGTCAGAAACTTCTGTTTCTTAATGTTGTTGTTTTTTGTTTTTTTTTTTAAACAGAATAAAGAATAAAATAACCTTCTCTTAGATCTTTTAGGCCTTGTTGCTGTCTCGTGGGAATTTCTCTGTCCCTTTCAGAGAGTATTCTCAGCAGTAGCTGACATAAAACATGTGCTCATAATTCAGGCAAATAATAAAATAATAAACAGTCTTATACTACGTTCGCTATTGTTTGTGATATTTGGTGTTTCACGGAAGGCGGGGTGTAAAGTGTTGGAGAGACAGAGTTGGAGAGTTGACAATGGCTGCACTTACTTTGCAAGTAAAACACCTGTGTAACAGCTTAAGTACAACAAAGGACAGGATCAGGCTCTGCATGGCTCAATATAGCCGATACTAATTATTTAAGAAATGCTTTGATTTGCCCCTACCACATAACAAAGTACTGGATGTATTACTGAGTTCTAACAACAGCTACATGACAAAGTGCTGGATGTATCACTGAGTTCTAACAACAGCTACGTGACAAAGTGCTGGATGAAAAACTGAGTTCTAAGAATACATACAAGTGTTGTCAGTATTTGGTGCTTGTTGTGTCAATCCATGTATTATATTATTATTTATGCAGCATTCAGGTTGGTTTTAGATGCAGCAGCAGTCATACTGTGAAAATTTTATCCTATGTCTGATACTTTGTGATGCTTTTTGGTCACTAAAACTTCAAATTCGCTGTGTCTGATATTGTCATGTAGGAGTAGAATGGGTCTTAGACTTTGCACCGAGAACAGACCGTCCGTCTCTGGCACGTCTATCTGCCATCTAACCAGTCTGATGACAAAGAGCCAGCTAAATATTTGGAGAAAATGTATAGCAATAATGAAATAATGCTTAAAATGTAAATAAACATTTTAATCAAGCCCTCTTCAGCCAGTAGATGAATTTAAATCTGCATCAAAACTTAGGTTTTGGTAACGTTCAAGTGGTTAAAGCAGAAACACTGGTAAATCAGTCTGCACTGATCTATAGATGAAAATCAGTGAATCCTACAGATTCTGTTGTCCACACAGACCCGTGTACTTCTGAAACCGTTTATCATTCTACGCGATTTGGCTGTTTGGCCACACACAACCGCACTTTGGGGCCCCCAAAACCGCGTTTCTTTGAAACCGGAGTCCAGGGTGAAGTTTTTGGAAGACTCCGGTGCCAGCAGTTGCGTGTAGATAGGATAACCGTAGTATTTTATTACCTGTCTCCATTGTTTGACGTCAGAGCGATGGTGAATAGCTCTTTTCTAAAAGTTTGCTAAGTACTAAAATCCCACATCCTGTGTTAAATACAATGTGTCTTAACCACAGTTGGGTATAACGAGTTAAGCGTTAGAGTACTTTGATTACTTTTTGCAGTAACAAGTAACCTAACGCGTTAGTTTGCTGTTTGAGTAATCAAATACTTGAGTACATTTTCAAACAAGCCATCAGTTACTTCTGTTACTTTTAGAACGCTGGTCTTTCAGCTCCAAAACAGCAACGACTGTCTTTTGGTTCTAATAACGGAGATAACGTTAAACCTATCAGTTCAGAAGAAGCCATGAAGCTTGTGGCTAGCTACGTGGTAGAAGAAATGCTGCCATTGTCTATGGTGGAGTCTAAAACATTCCGCAGGATCATCAGTAAAATCCCCACAACTCAATAGATGGAGGAGGACTCGCTGACAGACAGGTCAGACTCAGGACTTGCATTATGCCTGGTACACATTAGTACTACACAACTTTTCTGCCCGTTCTGAAAGTCACTATGTCACATTGCACGATTGTGGAGTCATAAAATCGTGCCGTGACTTGGCCGACAGACACGACACACTACACGATGGTCCACACCAGTTATCCCTGGTCGTCTTTCACGACGTGTGTGATGTCATCAGGTTATTCTTGTCCTATTTTTATTACTTTTACTATCATTTGAGTCACTGTGTCTATTCATGTGTCAGCCGAAATGTTATTGTAGTAACGTAAAAAGCGTCAGCAGATGGCAGGAGCTAGATTTGAAGCACCGTACGTAAACATTCAAGCTACTGTATCCTCCACAACCAAGTTCCTACAAATGTTTCACAATAAAAGCCTATTTAGAAAATGGAGGGATTCTCTCAGCCGAGGTTATAAGGGGGCTTTTAATTTGAAACAAATTTGGGAAGTGTTGAGTTTGAAATGACGGCGCGATGCATTAACTTTATCAAGGCAACTCTAGCGGATAAAAAGTAAATATATAAAGATACAGAGGGAATGATAAATAACAGACTGTCTATAATGTAGTTTGTTTCAAATGAAGCTGGTAGCCTCTGCAGTTGTGGTGAGTAAAAGCCCCACCACTATTTGTTAATGTTATTACTTTATGTCCATCTCCATTATGAGGACGTAACATTGTTTGCTAGCTTGATGCTAATGACAGTACTAGTCGTAGTCATTGGGTTGACAAAGTGCCTCTGCTGTTTCACACTATCATTTTCCCCTTTTACTCTGTGTGGTAACATCCCTAGAGGAAATATTAAAAACACTTGGGTGTTGTTGTCATACAGTTGTCTACGGCAGCAGATCGTTCTGTGTTTCTATTGGTCAAAGTGACGGCTGTGATGGGAGAATTGGATCTCAGTGAAGGGCAAGTGGTCCATAACTTTAATTTTGGAGACAAAAAATGTAGGCTAAGCGCCCTGTAGTCCATTGCCCAATAGGAAATGTAGAATACTCAAAGGTACTTTAAAAGTACTTGAGTTACTTTACTCAGGGAGTAACGCAGTAAAGCAACTGGTTACTTTTCAAAAAAGTAATGCAATAAAGTAATTTGATTACTTTTAAAGTAACCCTTACCCAACTCTGATCTTAACTATATTTACAATGAAGCTTGATTGTGCACTCTGCACTTAGCCCATATGTGAATGTTTACCGTTGCTATGGCAACAAGTGACAGCTGACGTTAGCGTTAGTTAGCTAAGCTCAATCGTCCGACAAACAATAACCCATAAAATTATAATTCAACATATTTTAACAAAATCAACAACAGCTACCAACAGTTACAGTCCTTAAACCCTTAGCTAATGTGTTGTCACAGGTTAGATTGTCAAAATTAAAGTAATAGCTTAAATCCCTGAGGAACTACGCTAGCATTAGCGACAGTTGCATCCACTCATATGCAGTTACCTTACATTACAGTTCCCTCAAACAATATCACAAAGCACAATACAAACTATATAAACAAATTATCTATTAAGGGTACACTACTGATAAAATCTGAAGGTGCTTAGGTGACATTTACCCACCTGAAAGAATAAATAAAAACACAAAGTGATTTTGCTGGTCTTCAGTAGCTTTACTCTAGGTGTAACTGCCAACTGAAGAACACAGCGCAAACCAACCGTTTATATACCCAGATTTGCTCTTGTGCCTTTACTCAAATCAGTTATGCTTTAAATTGAATGGGGGTATCTGTATGGTATCTGTAAAGATACAAAATGGATATCATATGCATAAAATAATGTCACAATTGAGTGGGCAGATACACATTAATATCCTATATGTCACACTAACTTTGTTTGTGAGCGTGCTATCTGCCCTCTTTGGATGGCATATCCAGCTGCTCGACCTAACGACCAACGAAGGGGGCTGCTCCTGTTGCTAGCTACCCCAACTACACTACCACGAAAGCAGCAACAGGCCTGCCAATGGAGGTCCAACCCAGCCAGATCCAGAACCGAATCGCGGTAGTGTAGTTGGTCATCCAGACGCCTCTGCTGTTGAATTAGGTCGTGCTACTTTTGTGGATCGGGTTGTTTTTATTTTCCGCACTTCCCTATTCCGGTATTAACTCTGACTTCTGATTAGTTAAAATGGCCTTTCCGTTAGAAGTTACATTGCCACCTACTGCTTTGGCATGTGTATTACATCACTTGGTAGCAGGTTTTGCGGTTTCGTGTGGATATCATATTTTTTTATCACACCACTCGTGTGGACAAATTTTTTTTGGAAACCAGAGCCCGAAAAACTTTGGTTTCAGAAGTACACGGGTCCGTGTGGACTAGACTGTATGAAAAGCTCCACATGCAGTTCATTAAACCCCGGCAGACGTGAAGGCAGCAGTGCCATTATGCACAACCATCATCTGTGTTTACCTTTATTTCCTCTAGGGCTGGGTAACATGGCTTAAAAATAATACTGTAATATTTTTAGACTAAATCGCTATACACGATATATATCTCGAAATTTTGAAATCTCCTCTAAAATACTGTAGAATACTGAAACACACAGTTATTCAATAAACTACAGTTACAATAAAGTTAAATAAAGTAGCTACAGTCAATAAAATTAAAGTACTGTTATAATAAAGTCCAATAAAATACTGTTATAATAAAGTTGAATAAAGTACTTTTACAATAAAGTTAAATAAAGTATTGTTAGAATTAAACAAATATAAGCAGAGCCACTGGTGCTTTTTTTGAAGTACCTGGCTCGTCTTAGGCTGGAAGTGTTGATTTCTCTGCTGTGAACTTGAAGCTTCTGGTCAACAGTTGTTAGCAGTTAGCAGAAAGTTGAACTGTTGCCGCGGCGTCTTTAAATGCGAGGATTTATTCACTGTGAGCTGGAAACACACTAACAGCTCTCCAGCTCCTACAGTACAGGCCAAAAGTTTGGACACACCTTCTCATTCAATGCGTTTTCTTTATTTTCATGACTATTTACATTGTAGATTCTCACTGAAGGCATCAAAACTATGAATGAACACATGTGGAGTTATGTACTTAACAAAAAAAGGTGAAATAACTGAAAACATGTTTTATATTCTAGTTTCTTCAAAATAGCCACCCTTTGCTCTGATTACTGCTTTGCACACTCTTGGCATTCTCTCCATGAGCTTCAAGAGGTAGTCACCTGAAATGGTTTTCCAACAGTCTTGAAGGAGTTCCCAGAGGTGTTTAGCACTTGTTGGCCCCTTTGCCTTCACTCTGCGGTCCAGCTCACCCCAAACCATCTCGATTGGGTTCAGGTCCGGTGACTGTGGAGGCCAGGTCATCTGCCGCAGCACTCCATCACTCTCCTTCTTGGTCAAATAGCCCTTACACAGCCTGGAGGTGTGTTTGGGGTCATTGTCCTGTTGAAAAATAAATGATCGTCCAACTAAACGCAAACCGGATGGGATGGCATGTCGCTGCAGGATGCTGTGGTAGCCATGCTGGTTCAGTGTGCCTTCAATTTTGAATAAATCCCCAACAGTGTCACCAGCAAAACACCCCCACACCATCACACCTCCTCCTCCATGCTTCACAGTGGGAACCAGGCATGTGGAATCCATCCGTTCACCTTTTCTGCGTCTCACAAAGACACGGCGGTTGGAACCAAAGATCTCAAATTTGGACTCATCAGACCAAAGCACAGATTTCCACTGGTCTAATGTCCATTCCTTGTGTTTCTTGGCCCAAACAAATCTCTTCTGCTTGTTGCCTCTCCTTAGCAGTGGTTTCCTAGCAGCTATTTGACCATGAAGGCCTGATTGGCGCAGTCTCCTCTTAACAGTTGTTCTAGAGATGGGTCTGCTGCTAGAACTCTGTGTGGCATTCATCTGGTCTCTGATCTGAGCTGCTGTTAACTTGCGATTTCTGAGGCTGGTGACTCGGATGAACTTATCCTCAGAAGCAGAGGTGACTCTTGGTCTTCCTTTCCTGGGTCGGTCCTCATGTGTGCCAGTTTCGTTGTAGCGCTTGATGGTTTTTGCGACTCCACTTGGGGACACATTTAAAGTTTTTGCAATTTTCCGGACTGACTGACCTTCATTTCTTAAAGTAATGATGGCCACTCGTTTTTCTTTAGTTAGCTGATTGGTTCTTGCCATAATATGAATTTTAACAGTTGTCCAATAGGGCTGTCGGCTGTGTATTAACCTGACTTCTGCACAACACAACTGATGGTCCCAACCCCATTGATAAAGCAAGAAATTCCACTAATTAACCCTGATAAGGCACACCTGTGAAGTGGAAACCATTTCAGGTGACTACCTCTTGAAGCTCATGGAGAGAATGCCAAGAGTGTGCAAAGCAGTAATCAGAGCAAAGGGTGGCTATTTTGAAGAAACTAGAATATAAAACATGTTTTCAGTTATTTCACCTTTTTTTGTTAAGTACATAACTCCACATGTGTTCATTCATAGTTTTGATGCCTTCAGTGAGAATCTACAATGTAAATAGTCATGAAAATAAAGAAAACGCATTGAATGAGAAGGTGTGTCCAAACTTTTGGCCTGTACTGTATATCAATAGTATTTGCAAGTTGCACTAGTGCTCCATGGTCGAAAAATATGACTAAATAGTCGTGGTCTGGAGCCCTACAGATACAAAGAGATACGCCGTGTCTGCTCACACTATCAATAATCTCATTAAGTTAAACTGTAACCGTGGCGATGTCACATGTGATAATTCATTATTTTTATTTATTTGAAACGCAGCAAATGGCCACAGGCTGGAACTGAACCCGTGGCTGCTGCTGACAAAGGACATTGCCTTTGTACATGGAAGGCCTGCTCTAACCACTGAGCTACCGGGTGCCCATGTGTCATGCTTGTGAGTCTTTGTGTGTGTGTGTGTGTGTGTGTGTGTGTGTGAGAGAAAGCGAGAGAGGGAGAAAGAGCCACAGGAGAGAGAGAGAGAGAGAGAGAGGGAACCAAAATGCTAAAGCTTGTCTCATGTTAGTGACTTAGAAAAACGCTGTGACCATTTATACTTGATGTTTGTGATAGTCATTTTATACCAGGTTACAACTAAATAACTACAGGGACATGTTGAATTACCAGGGCTTATTAATCCTTTCTGACACTGTTGTGTCAAAACAATGAGGATATGATCTGAGCATTTGCAACATGAGATGCAGAAGTACTATGTCTGAATTAGAGGTGGATTAATGCAATCATATAAATAGTTTCTTTGATAACTGCACTGATGAACTATTCACAAGCCCACACCATCTGCCTCTAGTTGCAGATCCACCTCCTGCAGTACCTGTCCTCTCCAGTAGATAGCCTTCCCAAAGCCCTGGCAGAAGGAGGAGATGAAAGGGAGAGGTGAGGTTGGCCGATGAATGTACAGGTAGTCCGACAGAAGAGCCCAGAACCTGCAGGCAGGACAGCACACTGTTTAAAAACAGCCTCACTGACTGACATGCATACATCCACGTTAAAGGTCACTGTGACATCTGTGTTAATGCTGTGTTGATCTTACTTGTCCTGATTCTTGCGAAATTCGGTCCTATCATTGTGAGTCTCGTACACCCACCCTGGAGCAAAGATGGCTACAGAGAAGTTGTGCTTCCGAATGATTTCCAGTGCCTGTTGATGACCAAAACAAAACAGTCCATACTGTAAATGTTTTGATGATGATCAATGTAGAGGGCTGCATTGGGACTGGGTCCCGCCGGGTCCCGCGGGACCCAACGCAAATATTGCGGGAGCGGGCGGTTTGGACTTTGCTGCGGGCGGGAACGGGCGGCTAAAAAAAACCACTGCGGGATCTTGGTGCACATGCATAAGCGTTTCCACTCTATATTTATTCATAAATGGACAAATATGCCCTGGCCTGAACCAGCTTTCATACCAATTTGCCGCTTGCTCCACCTGTTTGTCTGTCTGTCAGCTCCATCTGTCATGAGACAAAGGCAAGGCAAGGCAAGGCAAGGCAAGGCAAGGCAAGTTTATTTGTATAGCACAATTCAACAAAAGGTAATTCAAAGTGCTTTACAGAGACATTAAAAGCAACAAGACACAATTTAAAACAATAAAAACAGTCAATTAAAAAGGGAAACAGAAATTGAGAATGATAGGGATAATAAAATACAGTAACATAAAATAAAAACAGGCTCAATACATTGCATCTAAGAGCACTGCATACACAGTCATTATCGTTAAACTATAGAACATTTGTATATACGGCCAAGGGTCCAGGGCGTGATAGGCCTTATCAGTCCTGCGACTCCTTGCCACCAAAAAGTGCTCTTAGACAACATTTAAGTTTAATTTCAAAAACCGGCTCTGTCAGAGATTTCAGCTAGGATCTCTTGTCCCTGGCTCTGAACCATCTTGAATTTGGTTGGTCGGGTCTGTTTTTTAATGAGTGTATAGGACGCCTCCCTTAATAATACACCCAATGCCCGCCCACTATTTGCTCTTGAGTCCTTCACTCAGAGTCTTACCGTCCCGCCGGACACAGGTTCCACACACTGGTCTTATTCAGATCGTAATGAACTCTAAAGATCCATCACAGGACATCTCCCTACTAGATTTGAATTCACAGCGTGCTCCCCAGTGTCGAGTCACAGCAGCTGACTCAGACTTCCCGGTCACCCCCCGCAGGGATGACGCCAGCCCAACCTCTTAATTCCTTAGACTCTGAAACCCCTCCTATTGGAGATTTCAGCCCGCACTCAGTCCTCAGCCCTGAAATCTCTGACATTTGCAGCCGATTTAACAATAAACCCAAATAGAACAGTCAGGATAAGAAAAGAAGTAGAATAATAAAAGGCATAAATCAGCAGTGTGTAGTTAAAAAGTACGGGCAGTAGAATACAGCAGGTAAGTATTTAATCTAAGAGTATGCTTCAGTAAACAATAGTGTTTTTAGCCCTGATTTAAAGGAGCTGACAGTTTGAGCAGACCTCAGATCTACAGGAAGTTTGTTCCACAGGTGAGGAGCATAATAACTGAATGCTGCCTCACCTTGCTTGGTTCTTG